GCGTTGTGCAGTTTACAAAGAACGCGTCGTTCTCGTGGTATGAGCCGCCCACCGACTTGCACGTGGACACGCTCGTGACAGAGCTGCACAACATCACCCTCAAGTTTCCCCAGGGCGGGCTGACGGTCATCTGTGGCCCGACTGGCGGTGGCAAGAGCAGCCTGCTCATGGCTCTGCTTGGCGGTATGTGCTCTGGCTGCCCGTCCCGCCTTGCTGATCCCCAGAACTCGCTATGCTGGCTGCTGACACGCTGCCGTATGTTCAGAGCTCCATGCGGTGTCGGGCGGCGTGCATCTGGGCCAGCTTCAGCTGCCCAGCGGCCACCTGCCCATCGCATTTGCGTCGCAGCAAGTATGGCTGCAGAACGCCACCATCCGCGAGAACATCTGTTTTGGCACGCCGTTTGACCAGGCTCGCTACGACGCCACTCTGCGTGCCTGTGCGCTCGTCAAGGATCTCCAGAACCTCGACGGCGGCGATATGACCGAAGTGGGCGAAAAAGGCGTCAACCTGTCCGGAGGTCAAAAGGCACGCATCTCGCTGGCGCGTGCCGTGTACTCGCCGTCGCCCGTGGTCCTCATGGACGATCCCCTCTCGGCCGTCGATGCACCCACCGCCAAATACTTGTTTGAGAAATGCATCTGCGGCCCGCTGCTTGCTGGTCGCACGCGCATCCTTGTCACGCACGCCGAGGCGCTCTGTGCACCAAGTGCAGATTTCGTCGTGCATATTGCCCAGGGTCTGTTGTCTCGGCGGTTGTCAACCAGGCCAAGTTGGTTGACCTTGCGCCGGACATGACGCCGAGCGGGATCGTCGTCGAGCTCGATGCGCACGCGTGGTGCTGCCACTGCTGCCACGCTCAAGCCGAGCCCGCTGTCTGGCGCTGTGAGTGTGGCGTCGGACGACAGCACGGCGGAACAGCCTGCTGTGGTTGCCAATGTCAAGCGCATCACGATCGATGAGGCTCGGTCGCGCGGATCGGTGTCTCTGGGTGTGTACCTGGCATACGGCAAGGCTGCTGGCGGTGTCCTCTTTGTGCTTCTCGTTGTGCTCTGCTACTTTGGCGGACAGATGCTGTTCATTGGCAACGACTGGTGGCTCAAGACCTGGGCAGACGCGTATCGCCATGTTGCATCGGTTGCATCGGTTGCCAGCACGCGTCTCCTCACTCTCCAAGGCTCGACCGCCGCGCTGGGCGACTCTCTCTTCTCGACCATGAGACTCGAGTCGAAGCCTGGCGCTGTTGACGCTCCACGTCCCCCTGTCAACCTCACCTACTATGTCGGCATCTACGCTCTCCTCGGCTTCTCCACCATCGCTGCCCTGTTTCTCCGTGTGTGGGTCGTCGCGTCGGGCTCCCTCCGTGCCTCTCGCGACCTCCACTCCCGCCTCATCACCAAGATCCTCCGTGCACCGGTCCAGTTCTTTGAGAAGACGCCTGTCGGCCGCATCCTTAACCGGTTCGCCAAAGATTTCAAAGACATTGACCAGGAAGTCGGATCCTCTATTGGCGACTTTCTTGGCCGTCTCATTTCAACGATTGTCACACTGCTCCTCATTATTGTCGTCACGCCAAGCACGATATTCGGTATTGCCCCCGTGGCGGCTGTGTATGTCGGCATCGGACTGCAGTACCTGCGGAGCTCGCGTGAGCTCAAGCGGATGGAATCCACGACGCGGTCGCCCATCTACTCGCACTTTGGCGAATCATCTACCGGTGCATCTACGATCCGTGCCTATGCCGCGCAGGGCCGATTCATTGACGAGACTCACGAGCTGTGAGTTGAGCCGTGTCTTGATGATGCAGCGCACTCTACTGATACTTGTTGAAATGCGACAGAGTTAACAACAACCATAAAGCATGGTTCCATCTGTGGATCTCCAACCGCTGGCTGGGCATCCGTATCGACTTTAGTGGCGCACTTGTCACGCTCGCGTCGTCGATTGCAATCGTGTCGGCTGTGCTCTTTGAGGGTGGCATCAACCCTGGTCTTGCTGGTCTGAGTCTCAGCTATGCGATGGCGTTCAGCGACTCTCTTCTTGTGAGTGCCGACGGTGATGGTTGCTTGTGTACGTGGCGTGGCGTGGCGTGCGGAACTGACTCGTGGTGTTGGTGGTTTGCAGTGGTTGATCCGTGAGCACGCGTCAATGGAGATGGTCATAAACTCGGTGGAAAGAGCTGAAGAGTATCTGACGATGCAGGAAGAGGCACCTGCGGTCATTCCTGAATCGCGTCCACCGTCCAGTGTGAGTGATGCCGTGATGTGCAGTCTGTGGACGCGGTCAACTAACGCTCGAGACAGTGGCCTGCAAGTGGAGAAATCGTGGTCAGCAACCTCACGCTCAAGTACACGCCTGAATCGCCTCCTGTGCTCCGGAACGTCAGCTTCAACGCACGTCCGGGCGAGAAGATTGCCATTGTTGGCCGCACGGGTGCCGGCAAGACGTCGCTCTCCCTCGCCTTCTTCCGGTTCCTCGAACACGATGCTGGCCGCATCGTGATTGACGGCGTCGATATCTCGCGCATCGGTCTGCACGATCTCCGGTCGCGCATCACCATCATCCCACAGGACCCCGTGCTGTTCTCGGGCACGCTCCGGTCCAACCTCGACCCGTTTGGCGAATGCACCGATCAGGCCATCTGGGCGAGTCTCAAGCAATCCCACGTGATCGAGTCGCTGGACAGCGATGGCACCGCATCGACGGATGGCTCGCAGTCGCGGTCGCAGTCACGGTCGCCCACACGGTCGGCATCGCCTGCCCGCGGACCCAGACCCGACTCGCCCACCTCCCCCGCCGAACGCCTCATCTCGGTCGACTCGTACGTCGCCGAGGGCGGCGCCAACTTCTCGCAAGGCCAACGCCAGCTGCTGTGTCTTGCCCGCGCGCTCCTCCGCCGCTGCCGGCTCATTATCCTCGACGAGGCCACCGCCTCGGTCGACCATGCCACCGACGCGCGTATCCAACAGACCATCCGCGAGGCGTTTGCCGACGCGACGGTGCTGTGTATCGCTCACCGGCTCCGCACGGTCATTGACATGGACAAGGTGCTCGTGCTCGACCGTGGCCATGTGGCCGAGTTTGGCTCGCCGGCTGAGCTCATCCGCAGTGAGAATGGCCTGTTCCGTGGGATGTGCATGGAGACGGGCGAGTTTGAGGTGTTGGTCGAGATGGCCGAGGCGGCGGCGGCTGCTCGCGCTGCGTCTGCGTCTGCGTCTGTTGTGCCGTGATGGCTGCTGTGTCTCGCTGCCCGTTTGGTGAATAAATACGTGCTGGGATGGCAGACGCTCGTTGGCACAGATCTCAGTTCAACGCTGTGCACCATGGCATGCCGTGTCTGTGCATGTCCCACATTCTCATGTGTTGTGATGGCGCTTGTTGGACGCGGTCGCTTCGAGTGGATCTTGTCCGGACAACAACAAAGCGAGCAAGCAGCTGTGACGATGACGACGAAGCGACAGACTGCAATCAACGCAGGCACAGCAGCAGCAGCCAGCGACGAGCATGTGCGCAGTCGTCGAGCAGGTCGCTGGAGCGAGTGGCAGCCAAGCCGTCGAGCCAGGACAGCCACGACAGCTAGCGGCAACGACTGCACAGCCAGGTGTGCCTCGCTATGTGGTGCCGCCAGCCGCCGGCGACCTTGCGTTCGGCAGCAGCCACTGGGACCGCAAGCCCGCCGAGATCCACGCCTTGATCCTCAAGCACGCCAGCCCGCTCACTCGCTTCCTCAACGGCCTGCTCGGGGACACGGCCACACTCGACCGAGCGATCAAGCTGCAGCTGTGGATCGAAGCGTTCAAGATGGACTGGCAGGGCGATCTGGCGCTGCTGCCTGACGTTTGGCTGTCGGCCGACAACGGACTGCTGCTCGCACACTCTCGCTCCATGTACGACCGTCTCTGCAAGCGCTTTCCTCGTTACACTGAGCCCTCCTGTGCGAGAGACGACGCAGACATCAACAACTACGACTGCAGTTCTTCGACATTTACTTTGACGGCTGCCGCCTCCTTCTCATTCCCATGCGGCACGGCTGGTTCGATCTGGTCGACTTTTCGTATCCTATCACACTGTCTCGCATGGCCATCCGCTTTGGATGCCTCGATCTGCTCAAGCATCTCGACGACAAGTACAAGACTCTCAAACGCTGGATGGCGAAACACGATCCGACAAGCAAGTACTGGCACAGAGCAGTTGAAGAGGCAGCGGGCAATGGACACCTCGATGTTGTGCAGTACCTGTTTGATCTCGGTGTGACGGGATGCACGACCTATGCAATGGACCTTGCGGCCGAAAACGGCCACCTGCATGTCGTCAAGTGGCTCCACGAGAACACGACGGCAGGATGCACGACAAAGGCGATGGACCGAGCGGCTGGCAACGGCCATCTGCGTATCGTCAAGTGGTTGCACGAGACCCGCGGTGTAGAGTGTACGCCCCGCGCAGTGGATGCCGCCATCGGCTCGGAACATGTGGACGTTGTCAAGTACATGCACTCGAAAGGCGGCCGCGCATCAAGCGATATTGTCAAGATGGCGGCAAGCTATGGTAAAACCAAGGTGCTGCCGTGCTTGTTGGATCTCGGATACGCCGTCGAACTCGAGGCACTCAACCAAGCCAAGACTGCTGCCATTGCTGATATCCTACTTGGCAGTCTCACCTGGACCGGGCAAAAGAGCTGCTTGCACAAGCGAGACAAGATAATGCCATCAAACAGGCCACCGTTGAGAGACTCCAAGCGACGATCCAGGCACTGCAAGCATCAAACATGCAATGAACGGATGGCCAAGGCTCGCAGTTGGAATGAAGACGCGAATACCGCACTTGCTGCCTTGCCACTGCTCGTTCCAGAAAGTCACAAAGGAAGCAGTTGTGATGCTCAAGATCGTGCGGAGTGGAGCATCGATGGACACACGGCACACACGCACACGCACACAGCTGCAAAAACAGAAGCGATCCTGCAGGTTGTGACGAGCAGCAAAAGGAAAGCAGTCGAAGAGGGAAGGTCCCACCGAGATTCGAACTCGGGTCTCAGGAATCAGAATCCTATGTGATGACCACCTACACTATGGAACCCCCTTCGATCGCTGAAACAGGTCGAGCTGCACTACTGGTCAGAGATGCACAAAGGGTTCATTCCAATACACGTCAATGTCACGTACCTGCACTACTGGTCAGAGATGCACAAAGGGTTGACCAGAAGTGCAGGGCGGCGGCGCTTGCGTTTTATAGTCCATGTAGAGCCCCAAACACGCGGTCGTCTGTGTTGTGTCGCACCAGTAACTATGCCAAATATGGTAACTGAGACACGACACTGTGTGACGGTGGCGTTGTCTGAGGTATTGCGCCACCGCTGTGCTAGTCAGACGAGACGCGCAACACTCCTCCCTCTCTAGAGGACGTCACGTCCACAGACGACAAGGTCGGGCGAGCGCGTTGCACAAGGGGAACGCCGCGCGTGTCGCGCGGAATGTCAGTGGCGGCAGGTGCTGGAACCGCGATGCGTGGCGGTGCGGCGGCTGCTGCTGGAACCGGCGTGAGCGGCTGGCTAGACGAACCTCCGTAGAACACGTCCGTCTGCGGGCTGTAGTACGGTGCGAGGTGGTCGCCGTTGACGAGATTCTCGAGCATGGATCCGTTGGTGCGCATCAGCCGGTACGTGTCGTTGGGGCAGACCTCCTGCACGATGTATGGTCCGGTCCACGAGAGCTCGAACTTGGTCTGGCCGTGATGCTTCTGCTTGACGTACTCGCCCACGACAAACCGATCTGCTTGCACCGTGTGCGTCGTGTTGTAGCGCTCCTCCATGCGCTTGGCCTGAGCCTGCGATCGCACGTACGCGGCCTGGCGCGCGAGCCCGACCTCATTGAGACTGCGGGCGGTCCAGGCGGCCATGTCCTGCCAGTCCTTGGGATCGTACTCGTGCGGCAGGCTGTCGTCTCCGAGTAGGCGCGGCTCGACTCCAAACAGCAAGTAGAACGGCGAGTAGCCCGTGACCTCGTGGCGCCGCGTGCGCAGCGCGAGCAGAGCCTGTGGCACGTACTTGTCCCAGCGCTCGGGCGATCCGGCGCACAGCTTGGTGAGAATGGCGTTCAGCGACCGGTGCATGCGCTCGACGGCTCCATTCGTGCGCGGATGGTACGGCGTCGACGGCAGGTGGTTGGTTGCTTGCAGCTTGAGATACTCGCGCAGGCCGTCGTTGGTGAACACGTTCGCGCGATCCGTGATAATCTCGCGTGGTGCACCAAACTGGCACAGGATCTCCTCGTAGATGAACTTGGCGGCGGTCGTGGCGTCGCGGTTGGGATACGCCTTGGCCACCACCCAGCGTGTGGCGTAGTCGATCGCGGTGAACAGCTGCGTGTTGCCGTCGGCCGTTGCAGGCAGATCCTGCACAATATCCACCCCCCACCTCTCAAAGGGCAGCGCGGCGGGCTCGAGCGGATGCAGCGGGTTGCGAACCGGCGCGACCAGCGTCTCGTGCAGCTGACAAACGGCACAATGACGCACAAACTGTACCATCTCTGTCTCCATGTTGGCCACCAGTAGCGCGTCTGCAGCACGCCATACAGCGAGGCGGCTCCCATGTGGCCCATGGCGCGATGATACTTGTCCATGATGGCGTCGCGCTCCGTAGACACAATGAATGGCACCACAAACTCCTTGCCATTGACCGTGACCCGTCGGTGCAGAGTGTCGTCGCGCAGCACAAACAGGCGGTTCTGCTGCGAGATCAGAGCAGTGTGGCGCGGCGACAGACCGGGCGGCACCGTGTTGTTGAGCTTGAACTGGATCGCGTGCATCGGCCAATCGCGCTCTGGATCCAGCTGTGGCGGGGCGGCTGGTGCGGCTTCCAGTGGGTGCAGCTGAACAGCGTCTGCGCGAATGCCATACGGGTCAGCATCGATGATCGGGACCGCTGGCTCGGGCAGATCGGTGCGGCGGGACGGCGCGTCTGCAGGCTGCCACTTGCCAGGCGTGTACTCCAGTGACGGCCCGTAGTGCTCAAACTCCAGCTGCCAACCCCACTGGCGCGGTCCAGGTCGATTCAGCCCCTTCAGCCACGTCAGCGGCTGGTGATCCGTGTGCACGATCGTGCGGACGCCATCCACATAACAGCGCCAAGTGCGCAGCGCATGAATCACAGCCATCGCCTCACGCTCGGTCGCCGAGTAGTTGCGTTCCGCCGGCGACAGCTTGTGCGACAAGAACGCGATCGGCTGGTGGCCCTGCCCATGATCCTGCGAGAGCACGCCGCCGACGGCATCCTGGCTGGCGTCCGTCCAGATGTGCATCGGCTTGGAAAGTCCGGCGCAGCGCAGACGGGCGCCGAGACGAGCGCGTCCTTGAGTGCCTGGAACGCCGCCATCTCGTCCGGACCCATCGCGAACGGCACGTCCTTGCGCGTCAATCGATTCAGCGGGATTGCGATGCGTCCGTAGTTGCGCACGAACCGCCGGTAGTAGTTGCACAGGCCTAGGAATGATTGCAACTGCACAAGCGACTCCGGGACAGGCCAGCTGGCGATCGCCTCCAGCTTGCGCGGATCCGGCCGAATGCCCGCGGCTGACACCAGGTGGCCGCAGTACTCGACCTCGTCCAGGCCAAACCGACACTTCTTGGCGTTGGCGACCAGCCCGTACTTGGCCAGCCGCTCAAACACCAGCCGGACGCGCCGCTGCAGCTCCTCGTCGTCAGGCGCATAGATGAGAATGTCGTCCAGATAAACGATGCAAATCTCATCCACGAGACCTACCAGCACACGATTCATCATGCGCTGGTAGGTCGCGGGGGCGTTGCGCAGGCCGAATGGCATCGCCAGGTACTCGAACTGGCCGTACCGCGTGTTGAACGCCGTGTACTGCACCGAATCGGCCGCCATCGGCACCTGCTGGTAGCCAGACTGCATGTCCAGCACGGCGAAACGGCGCATGCCATGCAGCCGATCCAAGTTATCGTCGATCCTCGGCAGGCCCGTCGCGTCCGCCTTGGTCTGCTGGTTGAGTGCGCGGTAGTCGACGCACATGCGCAGCGTGCCGTCCTTCTTCTTGACAAACAGGATCGGCAGCGACCACGGGCTGCTGCTGGGGCGGATGACGCCAGCCTCCAGCAGCGCGATCAGCTGCTTGCGAACCTCGTCCAGCTCGCGCGGGCTCATGCGGTACGCCTGGCGCTTGACCGGCGTGGCGTCCAACAGCTCGATGCGGTGCACGCCGTGCTCGCCCAGCTGGGCCAGCTCCTTGGAGATCTTGAGCTTGCTGCCAGCGGGCGGCAGGACGCCGGGAAACTCCGCGCGCAGCGTCTCGACCCACTCGGGGAACGAGCCGTCCTCCTCGGGCGTGGCGGCCAGCTCAAACAGGCTGACGGCCCACTCAATCTGGCCGCGCTTGTTGGCCCACTTGAACTGCTCGTATGACATGAGCTCGACCGAGCTGGTGGCGAGCGACGACGACGCGGGTGGCGGCTTGGCATCGGCCATCACAATGGGGCCGCGGGGCACGTTGGCGACGAGCTGCCCGTCCTTGCCAAACGTCCAGTTGGCCTTGACGGCCTCGAGCCATGGCAGGCCCAGCACCAAGTCGTGGTGCTTGTCAATGGGCGCGACAAAGGCGTCCAAACGTCCGAGCGCCAGGCCGTCAGGCGTGTGCAACTCGAGAACACAGGCGTCGGACAGCGTGATGCGGTCGGACCCATCGCCCAGCCGGAGCGGAACGGGCTGGGGCAGCTTGTACGGCGTGGCGAGTCCCTTGGCCACAAGCTGCTGACAGAGGCTGATGCCTACAAAGTTGGCCCCTGCGCCAGAGTCGCCAAGCGCAGTGGCAGGAACAGATCCAATGGCCACCTTGAACCGACGAAGGTGGCGCGTTTTCGGCGAAAAATCGAGCTTGAACAGATCAGGGCCAGCTGGCTTGCTGGCTGGCGGCAGCACTGGCGGCGGCGGCCCAGAAGAAGACGAATGAGGGGATATGGCAACCGGACATGGCAGTGGTTGTGTATGCGTGTCTTCATTCGCACCACAATCACCGGCATGCCGGCCCCGTCAGTCGTCGGCGTCGGCATTGGGGCCCGAGCTGCTTGGACCAGATCTCGGGACCGCGGATGGCGAGGCCGGCGACACTCCGAAACCGAGACTGCGCAGGGCGTCGCAGATCAGCAGCCGAGAACGAGTGCAGCTGCGCAGGTGGATGGTTGTTGTGCTGCTTGAAGCGGAACGTTGAGCGACAGCCCTGTCGGTGGCTGCCGACGCCGCGGCACGTGTAGCACATTCTGCGGTCATTGGCGCCACTTCTCGCGGCCTGCTGATTGGGGAACGGGTTGGCCGACGATCCTTGAGATGGCACCAGCGCGGCAGCTGCGGGTGGCTGCAGCTGTGACAGATCCATGGGCCACGGGCCTGTGTTACTGGCGATGGGCTTGGGCAGCGGGCCGTTGCGCAGGATGTCGTCAACAGTGGGGATGAAGTCGCACACTTGGGCATAGTCCATCGCGCGGAATCTCAGCTCGCGGCGCACCTCGGAGGCATACTGCCCGTACAAGCCGCGTATGATCACCTCGGCCAGCCAGTTGTTGTGCACTTCCGAGTCCAAGCCTGCGGCCATCATCTCAAACCGTGCCACGTACTGAGCGCCAGACTCCTTCTCGCCTTGCTTTGTGTTAACGAGGGCGTCCTTGACTCGACGGGTCATATCGGGTGGCGTAAACGCGGCATCGAAGGCGGCGAGAAACGTGGCGGGGTGGACGACCTTGTTGCGGCGCAGGTGGCGAGTCAGCCACTGACCGGCGATCCCGACGAAGGCAGGGTGCAGCAGGGCGGTCAACTCGGCACTCGATGCGGTCTTGTAGAGCCCGAAGAACTGCTCCAGCAGGCGGCGGAAATCGGTGGCCGCCACAAGCTGCTCCGGCAGACCGGCAAACGTGCCGAGGCTGAACTGGCGCCGCACCTCGCGACTTATCGAGCTGTCTGACGGCGCCGCAGCGGTGGGAACGGGTCTGTCTTGCGGGGCCGGGGACTCGTGGGCCGTGTGCATTGACGGCGACGGGGGACGCATCCAAGAAGCGCCACGGCGACGAGCGAC